TTACCATACATATCAGAAGGTTTATATTTAATAACTATATAAAATGTTTACAATTTACTTATATTTAGCTCCTATAGTAGCTGTAGTATTAATAGGATTAAATTATTTAATATCTAATGAAAACCCATATGTAGAAAAAAATGGACCTTTTGAATGTGGATTTACATCATATCAACAAACAAGATCAGCTTTTAATGTTGCTTTCATTTTAGTAGCTATTTTATTCTTACCATTTGATTTAGAAATATCTTCAATTTTACCTTACGTTGTTAGTGCTTATTCTAATGGTTTATATGGTTTATCTATATTAATTATTTTCTTATTATCTTTAGTTATCGCTTTTGTTTATGAAATAAACTTAGGTGCTTTAAACTTAGAAAGACGTTTTACACCTATTGTTAAACCTTTAATTAATAAATTATATCCTATTAATAAATAATATATAATTTATTTTTATATCTATTCATATTTACAATATTTAACATATATATTTTGATTAAAATTCCCTGGCTTCGCCCAGGTATTATTATTTAATATTAACTTACACTTTAGTATGGGAAGGTTTTATATATATATATCATCATATAATATATATATTATATAGGTAAGTTATTATAGTCTATATCTCAATGGTAGAGAGATCGATTGATAATCGATAGATGTAAGTTCAATTCTTACTAGACTAATATTGAGTCGTTGACTAATTGGCAAGTCCCCTAGATTTGAGTTAGGTATATGTATGTTCGAATCATACCGATTCAGTTATTTATATAATACCCGGGCAATGCCCGGGGATCCTCCAGCGCAATACCTTATCCACCCTCAAAGAGGGGGGATAAGGGGATAAAATAATATTATTGTGTTGGGTATTTTTTGCTTTGGTAGCTTAATGGTTAAAGCCTTATAATGTCACTATAAGAGATGTCAGTTCGAGTCTGATGCAAAGCGTATTAATGGATAGCTCGGCATTGGTAAGCCAACCTACTTGCTACGTAGTTGTTTTAAACTCTCAGCGTTCGAATCGCTGGTTATCCGTATATATAATATATTTAAACTTTTCTAACAATATTATAGGGGTTTTATTATTTAATAGTATAGCTTAGGTATTAAATATTTAATAATTCCTTGACTAAGCTAAGGGATCGCAAGCGCTATAGCGCTGGCGATTCCAGGATGTAGTTCAAGAAATTCCAGTGTAATTGGACTAAGGTTTAATTATATATTAAAATATCCCGAACTACGTTTGGAGATATATATTGACATATAACACAATGGTTAGTGTGTATTACTACGGATAATAATATGTAAGTTCGAATCTTACTATGTCATTATATAGGCAAGATTTAGATAAAAGATAAATAAAAAAGAAAGAAAGAAAAAGAAATATATAAAAATAAATAAAATGACATTTAGAAAAAGTAATGCCTATCTATCATTATTAAATAGTTATATGATAGATAGTCCACAACCTAGTTCAATAAATTATTGATGAAACTTAGGTTCATTATTAGGATTATGTTTAGTAATACAAATAGCTTCAGGTATATTTTTAGCTATGCATTATAGTTCAAATATAGAATTAGCTTTTAATTCAGTAGAGCATATAATGAGAGATGTTAATTCTGGTTGATTAATCAGATATATACATGCTAATGGTGCATCTTTCTTCTTTATATGTATGTATTTACATATAGGAAAAGCTTTATATTATGGTAGTTATAAAGCACCTAGATTTTTAGTTTGATGTATAGGTGTTATAATATTTATATTAACAATAGCTACAGCTTTTATGGGATACTGTTTAGTATATGGACAAATGTCTCATTGAGGTGCTACTGTTATTACTAACTTATTATCAGCTATACCATTTATAGGTGGAGATATTGTACCGTTAACCCCAATAACACCATTACTTATTTATATTTATGTTATTTATATTTTTTATATTTATAATAATTTACAATTATTATCTAATAATACTCAGCATAATTGCGCTAAGTTTCCAATAACCAAATATAATGTAAATAACCCCCGGACATTGTCCGGGGGATATAACCGGACTAAGTCCGGTCATTTTAAAGAAAATAATATGGCCGGACAATGTCCGGCTATATCCCCAGGATTACATCCAGGGAATATTAATACTCAGGTAATGCTTGAAAATAATCAGCATATATGTAATAATCATACTGTAAATAATATTAAAGAAGATATAGATTTAATTTTATTATATAAATTTATAGGTTTTATAGATGGAGATGGTTATATTAGAATATCTAAAAAGATTAAAGATAAGATTAATTATATATATATATCATTAATTATAAATTTAAACGAAAATGAAACAGATTTATTAAAATTATTTCAATCTAGATTACAAATGGGTAAAGTATATAATATAACACCTAAAAAAGGTAATAAATTAATAAGATTAGAAATAAATAAAACTGAAATAATTAATAAATTAATACCTTTATTAGATAAATATAATATACAATTTTTAACTGAAACAAGACAAAAACAATATTTATTAGTTAAATATATAAATAATAATAATATTATTAAGTATGAAGATATTAAATTAAATGAAAATAATATAGATAAATATATTAATAATAATATAATTAAATCTAATTTTAATAAATTAAATTATTTTAAATATTGATTAATTGGATTTACTATGGCAGAAGGTTCATTTTTTATGAAAAATAATAATGATATCTGTTTTCAATTAAAACAAAAATATAATTTTGAATTATTTAAATCTATTTTATTATATTTTAATATAAATAAAGGTTTATCTATTAATAAAGATAAGTATATACAATTAACTATATCTTCTATTAAAAATATACAAAATATTATAATATTCTTTAATAGTTATAAATTATTAGGTTATAAATTATTACAATATAATATTTGATTATCAAATATTAATAAAAATAAAAGATATATAAATATTAATATAAATAAGTAAAATTAAAATACAAACATATAAGCTGCAATATAATATAAATTATATAGAAAAAAAAAAGTAAATTTCATAGAAATTCTAATATAAAGGACAATATGAAGAGAAATATAATTAATAAATAACATAGATATAAAAATATAA